AATGGTAGAGGACATCGAACGGATCAGTTGAATTATCCAACAGATGTAATTATTAATCAACAAACTCATTCGATCATTATTGCTGATTTTGGGAACAAACGAGTGATTCAATGGTTAAACCAAAATCAACAAATTCTCATTGACAATATTGACTGTTACGGCTTGACAATGGATAAACATGGATTTCTTTATGTTTCTGATTATAAGAAGAATGAAGTGAGACGATGGAAAATGGGAGAATACAACAGCGAAGGAGTTGTAGTAGCAGGTGGAAATGGAAAAGGAGATCAACTCAATCAATTCAGTTATGCTACTTTTCTCTTTGTTGATGAAGGTCAAACTATTTATGTGTCAGATTGGGACAATCATCGTGTAATGAAATGGAGAAAAGGTGCAAAAGAGGGAAGAATTGTGGCTGGAGGAAATGGAAAAGGAGAAAATTTCAATCAATTGTCTAATCTTGGAGGAGTAGTTATTGATGGTTTGGGTCAAATCTATGTGGCAGATTCTGCAAATGATCGAGTAATGCGTTGGTGTGAAGGAAAAGAAGAAGGTGAAATTGTTGTTGGTGGAACTGAAAAAGAAAATCAATCAAACCAATTGAATGGTTTTTGTAGTTTATCTTTTGATGATGAAGGAAATCTTTATGTTGGTTATTTTCGGAATGCTCGAATTGTAAAATTTGAAGTCGTTGTGTGAATAAAATTTTGATTTTGTAAAATACCGAAAGAAATTTTTTGTTAAATAAAAAGTTTAATAAATTCTAAAAAAAAAATTGTTGATAAGAAAATAACGAAAAAAAATATTTTTCTTTTTAGGATATGGGTGTGGGTAAATAGAACATGAATCCACACGTACCTACACCGACTAACATGTTCATCTATTCCATCAACAAAGATTCACTCAACTTCATTTACAACTGGAACATTTGCTTCAATAATAATCGATGAATCATCTCGTTTATCATCAACAAATCAAGGACGTTTAAATATAAATCTATCACGAAAATTAGGTTAATTATAAATTAAATATTTTTCTTCTTTATTTAGCATCAAAAATCAAAACTGATCCAACTTTTACATGTACAAATTTTGATCAACTTCTTCACCGAGTGAATTTTCAACATTATTATTTTCTTTGAAATCAATAAATAATTTACAAGAATGTTCATCAGATAATAAAAAGTAGTAAATTTTGTCCTGATTCAAATACAAATGATTGTATAAAGCATCAACGTTGTTCAATCGTATATCTTTTAAATATCGATGAAATCATAGAGTTGTTAATTAAAGACTAATTAAGATTAGTTAAAAACAAATTTAAAGGAGATAATACTAATAGGAGGAATATGGTACCAGTTGGGGGCTTCAGCGAAATGAGTTCAATTCAAATTTTAATTTTAATCAATGAAAATAAAATACATAAAAACCAATGCCTGTTTCATTATTTCAATGCAGTTTTGTTCATATTTTTATTTTCTGAGTAGTATAAAAGATGGATCAAGTCCAAATCAAGAATCGGCTCGGTTACCATGGACACGTGTGTACATAAACACGTTCTTACGTTTATATGCGAAAAAGTAGATAATTAGATATTCATTGCTTCTATAGACTTCTAATCAAAGACATAGCAATGGCGAACAATAAAACACAATGTTTTACATGTAATAAAGAAAAAATAACATATCGTTGTAAAGGATGTTCAAGAGAATTTTGTTTAATGGATTTGACAGAACATCAACAAAGATTAAAGGATGAATTAAATTGTATTACCAATGATTATGATGAATTTAAAGAAAGAATTAATGAACAAAAACTTAGTCCACAAAATCATTTATTAAGAGAACAAATTAATCAATGGGAAAAAGAATCAATTGAAAAAATTCAACACAAAGCACAAGAGTGCAGAGAAAACCTCATTAAATCATCACAAATATGTATTAATGATATTGAAATGAAATTTAAAGATTTAAATGAACAAATAAAACAAATTCGTAAAGAAAATGAATTTAATGAAATAAGTTTCGATTATTTAAGAAATCAATTGATGAAAATGACACAAGAATTAAATAATTTATCAAATATGTCCATTCAACAAGATTCAAAATCATTTATTAATGATATTTCAATTATTTTCTCAAAAAGTAAGTTTTAATAAATAATTTCTAGAAGAATAATACTCATTTTCTCTGATATTGTGTTGGAAAACTATAAAAACAATGATGAAGAAAAAAAGAAGAATAGAATATGAAATAATATTAAATTAAAAAATAAGTCAACGAAGTCTTTTCTTATTTTCAATTTTACTTTTCGAAACAAAATATTTCTTCTTTGCATCAAAATCTTTTGTTTTCATCCTTTTTGTAGAACCAGGATGGGGAAAATGGGAACAAAATCCTATCACTGTAGCTGGAGGAAATGGACCCGGACAAGAATTGAATCAACTCAGTCGCCCTTTTGGAATCTTTATTGATGAAAACAAAAATATTTTCATTGCCGATCATCGTAATGATCGTATTGTAGAATGGAAATATAATGCAAAAGAAGGACAAATTATTGCAGGTCGAACTGAAGAAGGAAAGCGAACGGATCAATTGAATTATCCAACAGATGTAATTGTTGATCAACAAACTCATTCGATCATTATTGCTGACTCTTTGAACAGAAGAGTGATTCAATGGTTGAATCAAAAGCAACAAATTCTCATTGAAAACATTGACTGTTATGGCTTGGCAATAGATAAAAACGGATTTCTTTATGTTTCTGATTACAAGAAGAATGAAGTGAGACGATGGAGAATGGGAGAGTACAACAACGAAGGAATTATAGTAGCAGGTGGAAATGAACAAGGAAATAAACTCAATCAACTCAATCATCCTACTGATATCTTTGTTAATGAAGATGAATCTATTTATGTATCAGATACTGGCAATCATCGTGTGATGAAATGGAGAAAAGATTCAAAAGAAGGAAGAATTGTGGCTGGAGGAAATGGTCAAGGAAGAAATCGGAATCAATTATCGTCACCTCGAGGAGTAATTGTTGATTATTTCGGTCAAATCTATGTAGCAGATTATTTCAATCATCGAATAATGCGTTGGTCGGAAGGAAAAGAAGAAGGTGAAGTTGTTGTTGGTGGAAATCAATTGAATCATCCCAATGGTTTATCTTTTGATAATGAAGGAAATCTTTATGTTGCTGATTATTTGAATAATCGAATTGTAAAATTTAAAATTGTTTTGTGGATGGAATTTTTTAATTTTGTAAAAAGAGAAAGAAATTTTTTGTTAAAGAAAAAATTGAAAAATAAAAATAAAATTTGAAGAAAAATCATTTCAATGAAAACAATGAAGTATATTTTATTTTTTCGATTTAATAAAATTTTCGAACTTCATTTTTGTTTTGTTTTATTGATTTGAAATTTGACGAAGAGAAAAAAAATTTAAAGATTTGACTTTTACTTTTTGATCCATATTAACAATTCAAAGTGGAAATTGTCTGTTTAGAATAGTTGAAGAGATGATCGAATAAGCAATTTGAAATATTTTTGTGAATAGTAAAAACATGTTTATTATGAAATTATAATTAGTTGAAGTTGAAAAACATTTAATAAAAATAATTAAGTTTTATGATGAAATCAATTTTAAAATTTCTTAAATATTTTCAGATTAATCTGTTAAGAATGCATGTGGCTAGGCGTAAGTATATCACACTGCTTTACTCACACCCACACCCACTCCTATCAAATGTATCTTGTTTTGGTGATCAAAAGTACATGTTCCCATTGATTCATCACATTTTCCTATATACGTAAAATGACACGCTGTGATACTAATTCTACCCACTTACTATTTATCAAATTATATTTGATAAAAAAATAAAATAAAACGCATTCAACCGTGCATAACTCATTCATATTTTCTTTCTATAGTATTCACTACATACAAAATAATGGTAAGCGATAGTGAAGGGTCAAGTATCACATCATCAAATTCATTAGTACTCAAACAATTACAATTCAACTATCTCATTGGTTATGCACTTGCAACAGGCATTTATACTTTGTTATCATACTGAATTGTATTAATGATTATCATATTTTCTATCTCAATCGTATAGTTGGTAACTGTTTACAAAGTTCCTATCGATATGCTATTTTCGATTCATATGGTCTTAGACGAACAACAATTGAACGAATTTATCTTTGTGCTAATATTTCAACTCTAACTATTGGTACACTTACTTCATCACTTTCTGATAAATAGTAAGTATATTGTTTCAGAATATATTATCAAAATAGAAAAGAATAATTGTATTATTATCTATATTTAGTGGTCGTCGAACAGCATGTATTTTATCCGCCATATTCTATATTATCAGTTGTCTCTCACTTGTGAGTAAATATCATAAAACATCCTAATATAAATTCATAACGTAATTTCTATCTTAAAAGAATATCAATATAGTGTGGATTTTTTTCATCGGAAGTGC